CCCCCCCCCCCGATAAACTACTGTTCACCCAACCCCTGATTTTCTGTCCTTGTCTTTGCTCTTTTGGCACCGTTCCCATTCTCTTCCTATTCCACATGAACAATTCTTGGCTCAAGTCGCTCAACAAACTTGTTCCCTATACGGCTGCATTGTTTTTCCCCCCCACTATCTCCTTCTAGATTGCATGTTTGGGCCACAGCCTGAGGATCCTGAGAAGGAAGAGCCAGAGCCACCATCTCACTCTGGCTTTCGGCCCTCCATCCTAGCCAAGAACCGCACCTGCACCTGCTCAGTGCAGCATGCTGAGGAAGTGCATATAACCCTAGAGGAGGTTCCACAAGCTACCTAGGAGCAGGCAGCGCAGCCTTGCAGAAAACAGGCAGTGGCATCAAGATGCAGCTGGTGAGTTCTTGGCTTCCTGAACGAAAGGGAAGAGAACAGGCACAGTGGCCGAGCCAAAGGCCAGCTTTGGGGCCGTTGTCCCAGCATCTCCCGACAACAGCGGCCTAGACGAAATTCAGCTTTTTTAGCACCATGAATTCCAGGAGAGCTGCTTTAATTTAGAGCCAGAAGACCCTGTACCTTTCTCCAAGCAAACGTCTTTTCTCCCTGTAACAGCAGGAGAGGGTTATGAACCAGTTTAATGCCCTATACCTGTGCAGTTTTTATTGACTGTGGTTGCCCACAGGGAAGGGTGAGCAATATTACAAGGTGAGAAAGCAGAGCATAGAAAAAAAATAAGAGCGCACAACCACTTAACTCTCTGAACACAACTTCAGCTGGTGGAGACTCTACCCTAGAAGCGGAACTTGGAGTAGTGCCAGGACTATTCCTACAGGCCCTGTCGGAAAAAGTATATATATTTTTGTACACTAAAAATAAATATATATGTGCACCCTGTGCTGCTGTTCCACTTTGCTGAATGCTACAGCGGCTGCCCAGGATTGTACCTATTTGGCCTCCTAGGCAGTGTGGTCCCATTAGTATGTTCCTTCTTGAAAGATTTAGGACTAATCACTCTCCAGCAGGATTTGCGCCACCTTCCAGCTGCAGAACACAGGCACCTATTTCACTCTTGGGCTTAAGTCCAGATTCAGCTATACAGAGGCTCCAAAAACAGGCTGAAGTAGCAGCACAGTAACTCTGGTGCCATTACACAAATGCATGTTCAGACCTTTCTAATTTCAGTATGGACCCGCCTCTTTGGATGGGGAAAGGGTTCACACGCACAACTGTCTTCTAGCATGCCTGGGTACTTGCTTTCGTTTGGAAGCAAAAGGTCCTCCCTTTAGTCTTCCTAACTAGGAATAAATAAGGGAACAAGTGTGATGGCAAAGCTGGGTACTCACTTCCAAGGAAAAACATACCAGAGTAAAGAAGATAGTTAGAGACTATTGGGAAAGTGGTGAGAGCAGAGAATTATAAGGATCACAAAGCCACTTATGGCAAAGTAGCATGAATAAGTTGGGAGGATGCCATATTGGTTTCCCAGTACGTTCCTAAAGCGCAGGAGAGTGTTTTTTCCTGCCCTCCAAAACCCAGGATTTCATGAAGAGGTCCTTTCTCCAAATGAACTGATCTCCAAAAGCATATGAAGACAACCCTTGTAACAGAACCAAACAACCAGAACAGGAGCTACTCCAGTCTTACTGTGAGCACTGTGACAGTCAAGAATCTTTTAATGGATACAACCTGGGCTACAAAGTAAGAGAGACAATTCAGCCTTGATCCTTCCAGACAATGTAGCTAAAGGTCCACACAGAAGACCATGACAGCTTGTCAATGACTTTCCCCCAAAGCAACCAGGTCTGCAAGTGGCTCCAATGTTCCAGCAAGGAAGAGTGCTAATAAATAGGGAAATCTGAAGAAAAGTAAGAGTCTGAAGTCTAGGCATCCAAGCGGCAGATTGGGCTGTCATATACCATCTGTAGGTTGACTTTGTGACCAACTAATTCCCGGATATTATTGATGCCGTATTTGATCATGGTGGGCCTAGAAGTGAAAAAAGGGAGGCATCTCAAAAAGAATAGCTTGGAAAGTGCATTCTCCAACAAAAATACAGTACTGGGGAACATGATGAAGCAATTTTAAAAATCCAAATACGAATAGTATAAGCGAACATAACAGACATGCAGGGGGAAAACAAGGTCAATACAAATAATATTATACTAGGTTTCTGAGACCATCCTCCCAGTATCTCCCTTTACCCCCTTTCTGCTGACATTCTAGATACCTCTGCGGAGGACACACCCTTTTCATTCAACTCCTGATGCCCAACATACACGCATATCATTGTGGATTCTTCATTAATTTGTTTCAGGAGGAAAGCCTGTTGACTGTGTCTAAGGGCAGGAAATGGGTGAAGTTTAATCCCCTAGAGGTGAGGAGGACACATGGCTTGGGTCAACCAGTCGCATGGCAGAGATTACAGAGACATGGAGAAAGAAGGCAGCAGTTGCAGACAGGGTGGAGCAGGGGCTTTATTGAGATTAGTTTCAGTCATTGCTTACTTAAGAGTCTTACCAGAAGGGTGCAACGTGAGTTAAGAAGAAGCTTGGTCCCTGCCAGAGGTATGAGTGGCTCTCAGCCTAGGAACCTCCAGCAGGTTACAATATGAAGAGGCTGCTTCAAAATGAGGCTGTCAGGATCAACCCACCTTCCTTGATTCTTCCCGAAGACACTTACCGTTCCAGAGACAGTCCCCAAGCAATGACAGACACCCCATCTGGCAGACCCATCGGCAGCAGCATCTCAGGGCGGAAGACCCCCGAGTTGCCCACTTCCACCCACTTTTTCAATCCTGTAAGAAAACAAAAGTTAACTTTATTGTTAAGTCAGACAAGGATGGCAGGGCAGTCAGCCATGGATCTTAGCACGACATAGATCACAATCCTGCGCCGTTTCCAGAATCCAATCTGCAAGCATGCCTGGGACACAGGACAAGGCAACAGCAGGCAGGTAACTTTATATCAGACAGGCTGCCGAGAGGGCATAGAAATAGATAGAGATGAGGCGGACCATGTAATGTATCTATACAGAATTCAGAAGGAAACAAAACATAGCTCATTCACCATCTTTTCTCCAATTATATTCAGAATCAAAATGTTCTACAGCTTGGCAAGCTCAGCAGCTATTTTGAAAAGCAGAAAGGAGGCAAAGGGCTAAACCTGTGGCACACTGCAACTTGTCAAGCTGCGGCAGCATTAAAGGATGTGAGGAAGAGCCATATGTTAATGCAGGTTACAATCACATTGACTTCTGAAGTCCTTAATGGCTTGGGTTCCAAACATAAGACTACCCAGGCAAGCCTTCAGTACAATATTGTGGCCCGAACACACACATGAAGGCACAAAAGCATCTTGCTGGCTGTTTTGCAGTGTCAGGGTCTCAGTTGTCTAAAAGCTCACTGAACTTTTAAAACAATGGCTGAAGTCCTGCTGCTTAATTATGTAATCAGAAGCCTGCAAACAACATAACTTTCAGTCATTTCTAGCTGGCAATAAGTAACACTGGTATTCCTGAGCACATACCAAGCCAGTGGCAGTCTGCACTCATGAAAATCCCAGCAGCAACTTATTAATTGCCAGCTAAAAGTGACTGGATATTACACTGTTTGCCTTTCATAGCTATAATTAAGTAGCAGGATTTCAGCCCCTGGGGGGAAAAACTTTTCAGTACATGCTTGCATATACTCTCCTGCCTTCTGGATACCCTTCTACCTTGTAAGCCTCCTTGGAATAAACAGGAATGAGAAACAGCCAGTTTCTTTTTCTTCAAAAGCATTTACAGCTGTTGTGTTACATTTCACAAGGAATTTAAAAAAATCAATTACTAGAATTTGGAAGAAAGGACAGGTCTTAATTTCAGGCAGCTACAGCTTCACGGGGCTCTGAATTTCATGTGGAGAGCTGAGGACTGCGGTTTTGTGCTCCAGAAAAACACAAGGGCACAGCCTCGAAGTACCATGACATCCTGGACCTCCAGAAATAGGAACTCTTACAAATGGGTGGGAAGGCGGCATGCTGTCAGGCTGTGTTGACACAGTGGAAAATAGTCCTAATTTACAGTGCATTCTCAGGGTGACCAGTTTTTGCAACTGCATGAGTCATAAGGGGATTATCAAAGGCTAAATTGGGGACAGTCGGAATTCCTTCTTAAGGTAGTGAGCGTGCAGCTGCCTTCTTGGCTGAAGGGGAAAGTTGACATTTCTCCTAGGTGAGAATCTACATAGAGGTCTGACTATTTGGATTGCTCTGTTCCTAAAAATTATAGATGTGGCTGGCCTCAGATGCTAAAGGCATTTTGCTGAAGAGCTGAAGTGCTAACTTCATGGGAACTAATTCAAAGACGATGGGGTAATCGCCAGCAGGAACAAATAAGACTCAACATTCACAGCTTCTTCAATTGTCTCCACCCAGTTCTTGCACCCACCTTGGTGGTAGCTGAACACCTCCATGCTGGGCTCCGTGTAAGGATTGTAAGCAGGCTTGAAGCGCAGTTGGGTGATCCCTGCCGGATATAGGAAATTGGTTGCTGCAAACAAAGAAAGCAAAACCCAAGCAGCCTCACCCTTAAGACTGCGGCCCCTCCCCTGACTTGTCCTAGGCACAGCATATGGGGCTCTTTATAGTCTAGAGAAAAGGCGCCTGAGGGGGGCCATGACTGAGACGTATAAAATTATGCACGGGGTGGATAAAGTGGATAGAGGGAAGCTCTTTTCCCTCTCACGCAGTACCAGAACAAACAGGGGACACCCACTCCAATTGAACTTTGGGAGAGTGGGAACAGAGAGAAGAATTTCTTTACCCAGTCTTTTCCCTCTCACACAATACCAGAACAAACAGGGATCCACTCCAATTGAATTTTGGGAGAGTGAGAACAGAGAGAAGAAAGTATTTCTTTACCCAACACTTTGTTAGTCTGTGGAACCCCTTGCCACGGTATGTGGGGATGGCATCTGGCCTAGATGCCTTTAAAAGGGGACTGGACAGATTCCTGGAGGAAAAGTCCATCACAGGTTACAAGCCATGATGGGGACGTATAATCTCCAGGCTTAAAAGGAAGGTAGCTCCAAATGCCAGATGCAGGGGAGGGGTATCAGGAGACAGGGACCTAGTGGTCTCGTGTGCTCCCAGAGGCATCTGGTGGGGCCACCGTGAGATACAGGAAGCTGGACTAGAAGGGCCCTTGGCCTGATCCAGCAGGGCTCTTCTTATGTCCTCAGACAGGCATTCAATATTCTCATTCAGCAGTGCACATCTTACCCAGTTTGTTGAAAAACTCCTTCAGAACTCCCATCAGGTCTCCCAATGTCAAGCCATAATCAGCCACCACTCCTTCAATCTGGTGGAACTCAGCCAGGTGGGTGGCATCCAGTGTTTCATTCCTGAACACACGGTCAATGGAGAAATATTTGGCAGGAGTGAATTTTTCCTGTAGGAGAAATTTCTGTCACAGACCCACACTCTGGCTTTGTTGAAACATTTTAGTTTCAGTCTATCTTAGTCTTATCAGCTTTCAGGAAGACCCACTATTACTTTACAGTGAAGCACTTCAGTGGCCAAAAATGTTTATACCCGGCTTATTCCAAAGGAGGAAAGGGTACTAATGGGCAATTTTACCTGCTGTGCCAACTGATACAGCATGCGGGCACTGGACGCAGTGGTGTGTGTCCTAAGCAGATTCTTCCGAGCCTCCTCTATCTTCCAGTCATATTTGTACCTTGGAGGGATGGAATGTAACATTTCAAGAGAAATGTGCAACATTAATATCTCATCTGCAGGGTCCAAGAACAGACTAAGCAGAGATGTCACTTATCAGAAGAGTTCAGAAAAGGGAATAGTTTCACTCACTCCTCTGCTCACTGTAGATTTAGTGTTCCCAGCTAAAGAATCCAAGAACACAGTTGCATAAAGAAGCATAAGCCGTTAAATGCAAGTCAGTTAGAAATATGGAGTCTCCCCTTCACCCAACCTTGTGGTAAAAGTGTCACACAGAGAAATGTCCCAGTTATGTTTAGGAAATCTGGGAAAGAGCTATCTAGACTCCTGAGCAAGGTATGGGGCAGTTTTGCCTCAATAGCGTATGTGTGCCTTTTCACCACTACTGTCCGTCTTTTGTGCTTGCAGGCCCAGTTAGAGAGAAAAAACATTCTGACAAATCTCACCCCTGAGAGCCATAACCTCCTTGAGAATGAACCCTCTTTACTCTCTTCAGATAATCCATGGGAAACTCAATGGCTTCAGCAGGATCTGGAAGGAATGAGACAATGCAAGTGACACAGACACGTGGGGACTCCATGCGAAGCACATACAATGCAATTGCAGCAGGGCGGGGAAGGGGAGAGCTTGAGATATGTGGTCTCCTTGCTCTCTAGTCCCAGGACAACAAAGGCTCTCAAAAGATGATTCGTGTCATTCTGACCACTGTTACTTTTTCTGTAGCAAAATGTATTCTCGCCATACTAAACTGCAGAATACTGGAGCTTCAGAAAGAGAGAGACATATACTAGAGGGGCCCCCAGTCTTTTGGGACACATTTAGAATTATGAGCAAGGGGCTTGGATACCTTCACAGAATGATTGCTGTGGAAGGCATGCCAGGCACAAGAAATATTTGCTTATAAAATGGAAAGCACAGAAGGTTGACTCTAGCAAATCTAAAACAGATCACAATGAATCTGCATGTAAAAAAAAAAACCATAGTAGCTGCGGTTCCCCTTGACAAGTTTTTGTCCAGTCGTGTCCGACTCTAGGGGGCGGCGCTCATCTCGCTTTTCAAGCCATAGAGCCAGCGTTTGTCCGAAGACAATCTTTCCGTGGTCACATGGCCAGTGTGATTTAGACACGGAACGCTGTTTACCTTCCCACCGAGATGGTACCTATTTATCTACTCGCATTTGCATGCTTTCGAACCGCTAGGTTGGCGGGAGCTGGGACAGGCGACGGGAGCTCACTCCGTCGCGTGGATTCGATCTTACGACTGCTTGGTCTTCTGACCCTGCAGCACAGGCTTCAATAAACCACCATTGCTTCAAAACTTAAATTGGTGCATCCGAACTACACAGAAAAAAACATCACAGATTCAGTGCGTGGCAGCACTGTGCCTTGGCACAGAAACATGGCTGCAAACTATCTTCATGATTTTTACATGGAAAGAAAACAGCACCACCAAGATATCACAAGGGTGCACATGTGAACATAGAGGTGGTTTGACTGACCATGGAATTAGTGATGTCCTTTTAAAAATCATGTATGATCATAAGGATCCACACCCTGGAACAATTTTTCTGTGCTGTGTAGGCACTGGTGTGAAATGACTCTGCGACTTTTACTACACAGTCTGTAGGCACCAATATAAACTTTTAACACAAACAGTTGGAGAGGCAAAGAATCCAATGTAAAAGTTATGCAAATGCAAAAAGGTGCATTTTAATACTACATCCAAATTTCATCCACTAGAAAAATTTAAATGTGTATATTCAGACTTTACACTCTAGTTGAGAAGCATTTTCTCTGCCTGTCTGTATTTTTACTCTCAATGTTTGTGTGCTCTCTTTCCTCCCTTTTATCCCAGTTGTGAAATGTTGTGGGGGGGGCGGAATCACATGACTATTAACCAACCAACCCTTTAGAAAGAAAGTGTCGTGCTGGTCCCGGGCAGGATGCTGCTGTGGTTGGAACAGGGCATCAAAATTCCAGAAGGAGCTCTCAATGAAGTTATTGGTGGGCATTTCTGTAAAACTGGAGATACAAAGACACAGCCATTCTTCTGTTACCTCAAAGGTCAGACCCCAGCACTAGATTATGACAGAATATAGGGATGCATTCCAATAAGCATGGGACAAGACATATTAGGCCTAGAAAAGCAGTGGGGCAATATTTGCTTCTGTTACCGTATTTTGCTAATATTGTCTTCCTCACAGAAAATGGTCTACACAGACAGAGAAAACAAAGCTACCCAGGTCTCCCCAGCAGACTGAGCCATGCTTGGCATGACCCCATCTCCTACAAAGCAATGCAGCTAAAACAACATGGAATCTGTATGCTGTGAGACTACCTTGAATTTAAACAACCAGCATGGCAGTTTTCACAAAGATGCACAACATAACACACCTTTGTCATCCCCAGCTGCCATTTTATCCTTCCTACCACCGCAACTCCCCAGCCAAAATTCTACACATGATAAAGTACACACCCCATTTCAAGGAAGATTTGTCGGAACTGGCTGCGGACCTTGAGCAGCGGGTGGAGGTGACCGCTTTCAGGCATAATGCCCAGTGCCTCAAAGTTATAAGTCTTGAAATTCAAGTTTCTCCAAGAGCCACTGCAAATTTGGGGAAGAGAAGGAAGAAGAAAAGTTAATTTCGCAGCTGATTTTTTTAAAAGACCATGTTTGCCTTAGTCTTACATGGACGCTTAGTGGAAAAGGTAACTCCTTTTTCTGCCATAAGAAGAAGTTATTAGTATTTAACAGGAAGCACACTGGTAAGAATTCCGCTAAAATGGATTGCAAGACTGATAATATCTATGAATACAATTCAGCATCCCATGACAGCTGAGGAGAAATTGGTAAATCTTGATTACTTACTGGGAACCAAATTTTTACAACCAAGATTCAGATCCATAGTACAAGAATACACTCTAGATCAAGGGTCAGGGAACTTTTTTACATTTTACCCCCTAAAAAATTTATATACGCTGACATTACCCCCTTGATTTGAAAGGAAGGATCTCGGTCACATGCGGCCAGTCGAGTGCCGCCACTGAAGCCTCGCCGCCCAGGCCGCCTCCTTCTCCTCCTCCGCCTGGCGGGACCACACTCAGTCCTTGGCCCCGCGGGTGTGGCCCCCTTTCTCCGCCAGCGGGCAGCTCCTGGGTGGCCGTCAAAGAGCAGCAGGTGGCTCGCCCTCCAGGGGCACCCAACACCGCCTCCCGCTCTGGCGGCTGCTTGCTAGGGTGGCTGCGGGCCTCACCATCGAAGCACCGCGACAGCTGCCGCCAAGAGGGCAAGATGCTCCTCCAGGCCCTGTCGGCCAGTGCGGAGGCGCCACCGAAGGAAGCCGCGCGGCCGGACAAGCACTGCTGCCGCCTGACGGGCTCCTCCGAGGATGGGGCGTGGCAGCCCAGCATCAGGAGGCTGATGCCCTCCCCCCTCCACTACGATCCACCTCTCCAGGCACTGGAAGGAGAGGCGAGTGGCACTGGAAGGAGTGGCGAGTGGCCTTGCCCTCTGCCATGGCTGGCCTCACTGCCACCTCAGCTGCCGTACACTGCTGGCCGGGCACTGGCCGCCATCTGCCATGGTTCAGTTGCAGCCGGGTTGGAGAAGGGGGTGAGAAGGGGGGCAATCGGGCTGCCGGGGACCCCCCTCCAGGCAGAAGAGGAGGAGGAGGGAAGGGGTTTAGGGTTGCATCCTCATTACCCTTAGGATTTTCATTTTTACCCCCTTTGGAGTAATTTACCCCTGTTCCCTGACCACTGCTCTAGACACAACATGCAACAGGAGATCACAGATCTAATGCTGAACAAGAGCTCTAATCCTACAGCCAATTCCCCCTTATAGGCAGGGACCAAGGTCATTCCTCACCTTGCAATCATCTCTGGGGTGAGGTCTGTTTCCTGCTTGGCAATAGTTGTACTAAAAGCACTTCCTTTTTTAATCCAGTATGTCTTAATGGTCCTAAAAGGGGGGGGAGGAAACATTACTTTATTAAGAGGTAGAACCTTTTGAAACATTGGTCTCAGGGTTATCTAACAATATGGAAGCTCTCGCAGGAACTACTCTTTCAAAATACCCAATCATCACTACTTGAAATGTATTTTTCTTTCTGTAAACTCCTGGCTCCTTTGTACTGCAGCATCCATTTCAGTACTGTACTGTAACAGTACACCCAGCAGAAAGAATATGCAGAATGAGAAAAGAACAATACTTGTCACTGGCTGTAAGAGGAATGTGAAATGGGTTTCACTGTATATCTGAATGGTACTACAGTAAGAAGTTCAACCGTTAAAAAGTTGGCCATCTGTCCCAAAACTCAAAGGTTTTGGATAATCTTTCCTGGTCTAATGAAAGGCAAGCAATAGATTTAGATTCAAATCTTACATTTGCATGTAAGTCACAGACTCACACTGCTTTGAACACCTTTTCTGCTGGCAAAAGAAACAAAGACTGATGAAGATATCAGCAAAGTGTATTTTCATTAGATACCGGGTAATAAGTGGATTAAAACAGGTCCTGTGTAAGAAAAAATTGTGCTAAATGTATTGGAGAAATTGGAGTGGAGAACTTTGTAGAACTGAAAAACCTCAAACACTGATATTTTCATGAACCCCTTAATGCCCCAAGGCCACTTGAAAAAATACCTGACTGGCCCAGAACTCCGACAACTGACTGAATAAGTCAAACTAACCAAATTGACCAGTGACGCATGCCAAAAAGGAGAGCAATGCAAAAATCCACAATACCACCACAATACTACTTTTCAAAGCAGATTAGGTACGTATCAGAATATGACTTCTCTGAACATTTTGGAACTTCTTTCATCGCTTGCATCTAGAGACATGACTAGTGAATTTGATTGCTTTGGTCTACTCAGAAGATGCCATGAAAGGCCATTCTAGTCTATTCTGGAAAGTTTGGGGCATTAAAAGATTAACAAAATAATATCTGAAGCTGTTCGGTCTTACATATTCCTCTTAAGTGGGTACAACACATTGTGATGCTTTGGGCTATTTTTTTTTTATTTCAAACATCCTGTTCTAGGTTTTATAGGTCCCCCTTTCCTGGTAATAGTTTTAAATCAGAATAAAAGACCCTGAAAAACTTAAGTATGGATGATGTATAGAGCGGTACTATAACACATGATCTGAGGAGCTTGAACATCAGAAGTACTTCTCTGTGCAAAAGCTGCAAAGTCTCCAACCTAGCTAGATTTGTCTTCCCAGAAGCAAGTCCAGAAAAGAGTCAAATGGTGGTGGAATCTAAACTCACACTTCTGCCAAGAGCTTCCGCTTCTTCAGTTCATTCTTGTCCCTTTCTTCTATGTTGTCAGCCTCTCCCTGCTGCACCAGGAGCAGTTTCTCTCTCACGTAATCCTGTACAGACTCTACCTAAAAAAAAGTTTTTTAAAGCAAAGCTTTTTTTACATAGGGCTCTGATGATCTCATTCTTGGATGAGTAGACATTGTCTAGAAGGGCGGGATAAAAGTCTAATAAATAAAATACAACACGTGGGAGGGCAAAATCACATGTACACTTACTAGCAATTTTTCTGACATATGAACCATACCTCTCTGCATAAGGAAGGACTCAAGATAGATAGAAATCTGGGACTACCTACCACCCGGAAGATCCGGGGTCCATCTTCTGAGCTCTTGTCCACCCGGATCCACTTATTCGACATTGCTTTGCTGAAGCCCACTTTTCCACTTGGCAGCTTCTACAATGCAAGGAAGGTTATGTATTCATCAACTGCACCCTCAGACCAAATGACACACAACCAAATATCTATACTGAAGAACATCCTCAGAAGAAACAAGGAAGGAAGTTCAACAGATACCTGTGTCAAAAGTAACAACTGGAGTAAATGATCCAGAAACAATGAAGTTATGGAAAGGAATTTTTACCATTAGATCACTCTGGACCAGACCCTCAGAGGGTATGCTGTTAAACACCCGGACTTCATGGCTCCCTTCCTCCACAATCTCTTTGCCCTCAGATGTCAACTCCCATTTCTTGGATGTGCGCTGCTCTGCATCAATCACCTAAAATATATATATATATTAAGAACATACTTAATTTTTTTTTAAAAAAGAACATATTTAATAGAATCTTTTTTTAAAAAATGGGGGATGAAGCATATGAGAAGGAGAGAGAAACAGAAGAAAGGGGAGTAATGACGTAGCATTTGAGAGGTGAGACATCAGTGATTCTAAGTGTTATATCATTTTAATATCTGTGACCTTGCACATAAAATAGATATGTTAGGCAGAATGGCTGCAGCCTAAGAATACTTTTCCATATACCATCATACGACATTCAATTGTACTCTGAAGTGGTACAGGCTAGGCACAAGTTGACCATCTCAGCAAGTATTACCCCCTATAGTGTGAAGAGAGATTTGAGTACAATTTTGTAACATGCTTATATTGATGTCAAGACGAACTAGTAACAAATCTTCAGGGCTCCTGGCTCTTCCTTTTCTAAGACAACTATTTTCCAGTTAGAATACAAATGACTTTGCTCTAGCACACCTCTGTGGGATAGAGGCACACTGCTACCATGCCTAGTTACACAAGACCCTTCTACCTCATAGCATGCAGATTAGGAATGAGTAGTGGGTAGATGTGAGGAGAGCCCTAGTGTTAGTGCGCCGTCTACTCTTGATAAGTCAAATATATGAGGGAGCAGGATGGGAAGGTGAGGATGTGGAAGACAGAAGACCGAAAGGGGTTAAAGCTGAGGTCTGCCTGTCAGAAGAGGGGATGAAGGAAGGGGAGGAGCAATGGGTGGAGGTCTGGGAGGAGAATGTTGAAGAGGGAACTTTTACACGGGAATTTAGGGCAGTAACGAGGAAGAAGAAAGAGAAGAAGGAAGAGATAGTAGCGCCCGTGAAGTCCTTAATAGATGACTTTCCTAACCTGACGGTGGGAGGACTACTGCCGGACCCTCTTCCAAAGCCTGAGAGCGTAGTAGTCCAAGACACATTAGAATGGACAGTGGTGGTCTTCCCACGCGGACGCGGTCATTGGAGGAAGGTGGTGCGCCCCGGACCAAGCTTCAGCCACCCACCAACCGAGGGGGATTGGGCTCACCACCCATGCTGCGGGACCATATGCACGGTGAGGAGTGCCCCACTACAGCCACCCACCAACCGAGGGGGATTGGGCCCACCACCCGCGCTGCGGGACCATATGCGGTGAGGAATGCCCACTACGGAAACCCACCGAAAGGGAACGCTTTGGGCTGGCTCCCCCCTTTTGAAGCAATGAAACCCACCGACAGGGAACGCTTTGGGCCGACTCCCCACTTTTGAAGCAACATTTTAATGTTAACCCTTACGGACTTGTTGAAAAGGTGTTTCCTCAGCCGGATACGTTTATGCCGACTGAAGTGGTTATTGACACACCAGTGTAAAATGTTAATAAATTGTTAAAGTTACAAGAACCTATAGAGACTTCATTGCCTGTTTATATGAGCCAACCATTTAACGTAACCCATGGAAATTTTGACAGTAGACATGGGACATTTATATTTCTATCCCTGGAGATACAAATATAAGTATCAGTGCCATAGCTGCCTGGAAAGTCCAGTTCCTTCCCCCCAAACCAGCAACTACTGCTTGCTGCACACTCAGTGTCATTCCCATGGTGCTAATTGCAGAAGTAGCAGAGCCGATCACTCCAGCAAGGAGGTGGGATGATGAGCCTTCCCACTCAGCTGTTGAGAGGTTGGCTGCATGTGGAGGCACCTGCCAGGCTACTTCCATGATTGGCGCAATAGAAATGATGCCGACCCCACATACAGCACAGCAACCGGTAATTGAACCTGCTGTTTCAGCGGGAAGGACTGCATTTTCTAGGCACCTAGGGTGCTGATACTCACATCCACAGGGATATGAATACAAATATCCCATGACTAGTAGTGGGTGGACTATAACTCTTTAAGATCAGATTTTGGCTGAAAAGATGTTTGATAATGAATATGCTGGTTGATATTATGTATTTTTTGCTGTTCCATAAATAACTGTCCCAGAATCACCCTCTACACTTTATGACTGTGGGAGCCATTCTAAACCAGGAAATTTATCTGGTATTTCAAACTGGCCTTCTAGGATCCACCTTACAGAACCACTGCTGAAAGATTCTGAACACAAACCCCCATCAGACCTTGCAGTAGACCATGGACCCAGCTTTGTCTGTGGCTTCAAAAAAGATCAGCAAGATTTCCACTCCTCCCTCACCCTCAGATTTGGAAAACATACAGAGGAAAGAAGCTTACTCTCTAGATACAGTACTGTCACTGAGATGTTAGGTTTAAACACCCCTGCAGTAGAAATGAGAGAATCAATGGAGAAGTTTGAGGTTTTAATACTGGAACAAGGCACCGATGAGGCACTGCTCTCATGACAACCCACAGTTGTGGGTTAACCATGTTGTGTAGTCAACCACAGCTAGAAGAGAAGCTAAGGACAACCCTACCAAGTTGTCTAGCCTCTATATTGCAAATTAGAGATGGGACTCAGTTTGGCTGAATATCAAACCAGAGTTGTTCTGCTCCATCTCCAAATTAATCAAACTTGAACCTACTTCATTTCTTCCACGTCTGTACACTGTAGCCCCACGTCCTGTTTATTTATCTACAGACAGAACGGTAAAGGGTCCAGAAATCCTCCCTGCACCAAATTATAATCCAAGATAAAATAAAGGGACATGAAAGTGCATGCACACACACCCCTTGCCACAAAACCAAGGTAAGACAGTAAAGGGTCCAGAAATCCTCCCTGCACCAACATATAATCCAAGATAAAATAAAGGGACATGGAAGTGCATGCACCCCCCTTGCCACAAAACCAAGGTAAGACAGCAGCATGCACGTGGAGGTGTCGTCCTCCAGGTCTGGAGAAAAAATATATACAACTTTTAGGAAGAAGCCCTGCCAGAGAGATTGCCAGGAACAAGGTAAGACAGCAGCATGCACGTGGAGGTCTGGAGAAAAAAATATATGCAACTTCTAGGAAGAAGCCGTGCCAGAGAGATTGCCAGGAACTAACTTCACGGCTGCTCTCCTTCACCAAGCTTCCTACCCGGAAGTACCACCTGGGCATCAACTTTGCAGAGGCTTGAAGCCCCGCCCCTTCCCGCTCAGAAAGCCGGGCCAAATGCCGGAATCCTCCCAAAGTCGAACTCGGGCCCAACCCCGCCTCGGGGCGTGGTCAAAAGGAGGCCCCGCCCCCCTCGCGCTCTCACCTCTCCCAGGGCCTGTAGGCTCTTCACCGCTCCGACCAGCACTTGGTGATCCAAGCCGAGGGCTGCGGCCGCCTCCAGGCTGCAGATCCCGCCCTCACCGCGGGCCGCCGCTGCCTCGAGCCTTTGTAAAAGCAACTCCGCCGCCGATCCCGATGCTGCCGCGGATGCCACGGTGGGAGACATCTTCCCGGCGAGCCTGACAAGGATTTCCGTGCCCTCCCGGAAGCGGAAATGGCTCCAGTCCCTTTCTACCATAGAGTTTTCCAGAGCTTTCCTCCAGAGCCTCCATTTTACGAATGCCTCCCAGCAGCGACGGCTGGTAAAGTCCAGCCGATTGGAAATGACCTCATCCGTCTAGTGATGGCCGCCGAAGGAAGACCGAGACGGTCGTGGTTTCTGCGGAAGAAAGACCGGCGGTGGCTTCTCCCTCGGCGGTCTCCGTCATGGGAAGCCGGGGAGGGGAGAAAATGAATAAAACTCTTTGGGTGCGGACTGCTAAACCCCCAGAAGCTGTCAGAGCTAGCCTTAAGGAAACTGTACAAACAAACTTAGGAGTGGTTTGAAATAAGGCAACCTTCATCATCTGGTTATTATTTGCGAGTTCATAAGTGAAGTAAATGCTGTTTCTCTCAATAGTCACACAGAAGAGGCAATGGCGAAAAAGGCTTTGCTGGGTGGTTTTTTATTTTATTTTATTTATTTGCTTAATTTATATACCAGCCATCTAACCAGAGGCCATTCTGAGCGATTCACAAACAAACAAACAAAAACCTAACCATAAACCATCGATACCAGTATAAGAACAAATGTCTTAGCTTAACAGTGGACACCTTGGGGCAATAACATGAGACCATTTTTCTTCCTTTATGCTTATTCCTCCCCACCTGTCCATTTCCCCCTTTTTCAGAAGCCCTTAGACTGCAGTTTAGTGTAATTTTAACTGGTTCTAATAAAAAACATGGTCTGACTGTCAATTTGTCATCTGTGCCTTAGTTTAAAGGCACAAAAATGCCAAATAAAAACTTGCTTTTTTAATTGTCCACCACAGATGTAATTTAGCAAGCAGCAGGTTTAACAAAAAATCAGGAGAGTGCAGGAGTTTTCTCTTGGTTCCCTAATATATCAATATCTTAAACGAATGCATTGATTATGTTATAGGTTTCAGACTGTCCCGTTCTGCATGTTGTGGACTACATGGTACCAAGAGAAATGGGGCTGTCCAAATTGTGAAATTGGAGTGTTCAGCAACAGAGGAAATCTGTGAACAAAACTTCTCCACACTCATCTGATGGGGGAAACTTGTAATTTGATACTTTGTGTAAATAAAATATTAAGCAATTAAGGGTATAAGAATTGCAACCATGGAGTATTCAACTCTATGTGTCACGTAAAACAGCAGTACAATACAGTATCTTCTTCCCACATGTTCAATATGTAAGCAAATTGGACTGTTGTTCAATATGTAAGCATTTTGATCCAGTGCCACCTTCTGCAATATTCTTTTTTATACAGCTATTGAAGGTGCCAGGCCCTCTTTTGCATCAGTTGCAAATCCCTGGTTTAAGGTGCAGCCAAACAGGCATTCAGCTTGCTTTGTCTGCTGTGGAACAGGTTAGTTGGCTTCTTTTTCTCGTGATCATATGATGTAATTGCAGGAGTGAATCAGCCTGCCCCGAGTGTTCCTACCACATCTTTCTGTCAGAGGCTTCTGCTTTTTTGGTGCAGGTAAAATCATTTGGTTTTGGTTCACTTCCACTTGTGTGAGACTGCTGAAAATGAACCAAAGCAAGCCTAAGGTTGTCAAGGCTCCTTTGGCTGTCAATTTACAACATTGTGAAGCGGCTTTAAGAAACGAGCCACTTTAAAGTAATAATAAAAAATAAGTGAATCAGTCCATATGAGCTGTCCTAATAAAAAATTTTTAAAAAATTTCCTCTATCTCTTGATGGAAGAGCAGAAGAAATGTTTAATTTCCCAATACTGTTTCTTGAAGTGGCTCTTAAGCCATGATATGGCAAATTGACAGCTGAACGAGTCAGACCAGATAGGGTCACTTGAGGTCTAGTATGCCATTTGAATGTAAGGATTTTATCAAATGGCATACCAGACCTCTACCTAGCCTCAAGTGACCCTTTTTAGCCTGCTCCAAAAAAGCGCATGTACACACGCCCTTAGGTTGTTTTTTTCAGAAAATCCAGAGTGTATGGCTATAATAGGTTGGTTCACAGTGCCACCTTCTGGTCAAGCTGGATGCTGAGAAATAGCCAAATGGTTGTTGTGGGGGTTTTGGGCTCTTTGGCCATGTTCCGAAGGTTGTTCTTCCTAACATTTCGCCAGTCTCTGTGGCCGGCATCTTCAGAGGACTGAAGTGCCAGCCACAGAGACTGGCGAAACGTTAGGAAGAACAACCTTCAGAACACGGCCAAAGAGCCCGAAAAACCCACAACAGCCATCAGATCCCGGGCATGAAAGCCTTCGAGAATACATTGAACCCCTCTACAGGTCAGCTCAGTTTTTGTGTATGCTTACATTTACAACTCTGGCACTGTTTTTTTAAAATCTAGCTTAAATAATGTTAGATGTAGTTGATTTGGTTTGGGCAAGTCGAAAGTCTGGTTTACCTGCAAAATTACCCAGATTTTTAATGCCAATAAAAGTCTTCTGTTTAGTATAACATATTAATTGATTAGTGCTGCTGATCTACTAAAATTGTACTTTCTTTACATGTTAGAATTGGATGATGCAAAATTGTAAATTAGCTGAGCATTTCTTGTGTACAGTTATGAAATGTTATACAGGAGCTGGGGTGGATACTTTGCTCTCTGAATGTGAAGAAAACAGAGTGCTGCCCCTTAATACATGTGTGAAGGCAACAGGCTCCACTGGATGGGTGCATGTGGCGAAAGGCATTTTGATTCCCTTTCTTTGCTTTGGCCATGCAGATGAACTGGCAACCTCAGGAAAGAGCTGTATTTTGCTCTTTTTTCTTCATACCTTTGCTGCCCTTCCTTTGGGGGGGAATATCTTTTTGGAAGCAGCTCAAGCCTTAGCTGGGTCAGGAAACATTGAATGGCTTCTTAGTAGACTGTTTTTTCTAGATAACAACAACCAGTCATTAGACACCTGGAAGCCAGAGACTGCAGGAGAGGGAGCATTGGCAAAGACACTATGTAGAGTAGGCGCAATAAGCTTCATTTAGAATTCCCATCAATATGCATCTACAGTACAAGAAAAATAGGGACTTGATCCATTTTTGCATATGGTCACCCAAGGTGCCATCTTCAGTGATTTCATCAGGGGAATTCAGAGAGGTAATTATATGTTCAGGATAGGAAGCTTTTCTTGAACTGTAAAGCACAAAGTGAAAACAAGGCTACCGGAACTTCTGTTTTGTTCCCAAAGGGACTACTGCATTCCTTTCTCATAGGCAGAACAAGCTATATTCCACAGGGTTTTATGGAAGAAGGTTGGGCACAGAAGCTACTCAAAGTCTTAGGAGCTTTGTTTAAATTACAAAGCCCTGTATATTAGGAATTTTTTTGGAGATTAATGGTGCTTCTAGATTAGGCAGTTGTTGTGCAACTGTCTAAGATTCACAGATTGTATTGGTCCAGGGACGGGTTTTTCCCCCAGATCCTGCTGTCTTCCTCTGATTATAATCCTCTTGTTTTTCCATGGTTTCTTTCATCTCTTATATATTAAAGAAGAAAAGATTATGATGCCTCTTGATTGATAGTGCAAGGACGTGTCCTTCTGGAGGCACTTCTGAAGCACACCTCACCACATGCCAGGAGGGGTGCTTCCAGATGGACACCTCGTGCCACCTATCAAAGTGGCACCTGTCCATCTTTTCCTCCTTGACAGATTTTCCATGGTAAGAAAAAAGTTGGGAAAACATGGGAGGGTTACAAATGGAAGATGACTTCTGGACTCCTTATAAAATTCTAGGAGGCAAAAAAACTGCACAAGAAGTATGAGAACTGCAGCACACCTACATACAATTAGATACAAAAAGAAGAGTAGTGTTTTCACAGCCAGGTGTAAGCAAACTGCAGCTCTCCAGGTGTTTGGACTGCAACCCTCATAGTTCCTATAACATCTAGACAACTAATTTGTCTACTGTTGTTCCAAGCAAAGAGGGCCTGGCTCTATGTGCCATCTAGGTTGTCAGTGTGGAGCAGCAATAGATATATTAGGTGGCAGGTAGGAGGGTCTGAATCCCTTCAAGTATTAGGAACTGACACAAAGTGCTCCGTATATTTTAGGGAACTTGAGAACAACCTGTAAGGTTTTGCAGGTATTTGAGTTAGTGTAATACCTGTCTTCCCAAATTGCCTATTTGATGTCACAGACTGTCCCACATCTGGGTGTTTTTCAAAAGCCTGTGATCTTTGTTTAATGTTGTTTTTCATTACTTTGTATCGTATCACATATGTTTCTCCAAATGGTGTGGACTACAACATCAGTGGACCTTAGCCAACATAGCCAGTGATGAGAAATTACAGAGTTTTACTCCAAGAACATCTAGAGAACCACATGTTCTCTTGGTTTAGCCTGACTGTCAGTGCAACAGACACATCAGAATGATCAGCCCTGCATAAGCTCCTTTTATTTTAATATCAGTGATTCAGCTTGGATCTCCCTCTCCTAGGCACTCCGAGCAGTCCAATCTACATTTTAGTGGGCTTCGACTATAGCGACAATATATCAATTACATACAGGCATATTTATGAAGGCCCATCCCCCAAATCTTTATTCAAAATGATTAAAGATAGGTGAGTTCACTCATATGTATTATTTCAAACATTTTTGTTATTCCCCTTTACTGTATGGAATTTCACAACAATATACAAATACATACAGTATTGTATTTGTATATTTTACAGTTGGTTTGTATATTTTACAGTTGGTCATCTTAGTCTGATCCCTTCCCTTCCACTGTCCTTGCCAGGGTGACCAAGACAATTCCAGTGTTTATGTAGAGTAGGCATTTCATACAGTTTGTCATACAGGTGGTAATAAATACTGCCATTTCTGCATGTATTTTCAAGACACAGGGTCCTTGCCCCTTTGGGCATCTGTTCACTTTGGGATTTTGGACTGCCCATTTTTTTTCACATGACTTACAAACCTTTACAAAATAATGTTTTCCTCGCTATTTAAAAACACTATCACACATTAGGTGAACAATACCTTTATGAATGTTAACACCAGGAATCCTACACCTGGGAGTCCCAGAAAATTTCATGATCAAGGCTGGTAACGTGTAG